GGGGGGAGATGTGGGGATCCATTTAGGTTCAACACATTGCATGCTGTCATTAGCACAGATAAGGGGCCTACTTTTGGAAACAGCTTCACAAAACAGGCAGCACACTTCTTTAAAACAGAAGATGTGATGTTATCTGTGGATGATATGCACAGAGGAGCCAGGAGCTGAGGAGTCAAGCAGTAAAAACCCCTTAGGTAGATGCTAAACAACCTGCCTTGGGAGAAAAACAAACCACACAGAATTCAAAATGCTGGCAAATTAGGCTTCTGTGTATTCCCCTTGGAACCTTAAAATGGAACATGTTATGAGCTCTGAAACAAATACAGTACTTTCCAAAACTTTTTATAACTAAATCTGAGTACCCCCAATGCATACAGAGTCCCCCAGTCTGTTTTGTTACCTTAAAACCATCCATGGAACAGGTTTGAAGATACCTCATTGTATACCACAAAATGTGATGTGTTAGGAATTTTTCATGATGCTCCATGAGTCAGGTTCCCTGACTTTACTTATTTGGAAATTGTCTGTCATCACCATTATCTAGTCTTTTAATGAACCACATCTTTTAATGTCTTTTTGAGTAGACCAGAGAGGAGAGCACCACAGTAGTCCAGTCTGCTGGATATTAAAGTGTGCATTAGTCCTTCACTCAGTGTTAGCATCGAGAGACACCACATCTCTTTCCACTGTTTTTTTTTATTCTCACTCAGAGAGAATAAAAATGAGACACATTACTGATATTTCTTAAATAATAAAAAGCAGATTTGGTAACAAGCCCCACATGAGGCTTAAAATTCAGTTCTGAGTCAAATATAATGCTGAGGTTTCTGGCCTGGTGGCTCAGGGTCAGTCCTACAAGATTTCATTTTGTGGCCAGTTTCTCCCTGAGACTTTGAACCTATAATGCATATTTTATTCTTATCCTGGTTGAGCTGTAAACTGTTTTGTGACCAGTGCCAGTCGGTCCTGTGTCATCAGGAATCACAGCCACATAAAGCTGAGTTTTATAAGCCTAACTGTGGAAAGAGATGTGGCATCTCTCAATGCTACCACAGAGGGGTGACATCAGTAGGTAAATAGGCAGTGGCCCTAGAATTGATCCTAGGCGGTTTAGAGAGTTTGTCATCATTGCAGTCTTCATGTTGTCGCAGTGATCGCAGGTAAGCACATTTTTTTTGCACTGAGGTTTTACTTTGTAGTCTTTGTTTTTATTTATACATGGTCTTAAAACTGTTACACTTTACCTTAAAAATAGTACAAATATTAATTATTAACAATAATTACAATTATTGTTAAGGATAGATTAGGTCTGGAAAATGTTGTTTATGGGGCCAAATAATGGGTAAACATCATTTAACTCGTTTACTGAGCCTTCACATGAATGCTCTGTCATTCTGTGGCACACTTAATTGTGTATTATTGACTGTTATGATACGGCACGGTTTTGATTCATATAACTGTATATACTTTTAGGGCACTACCTTGTAACAAACCTTTTTCCTCGTGGTCAAATTACCGAAATGAAGGTGGACACACCCAAACACCACTTGTGCCAGTACACCCTGATCAGATGCTGTGAATCCTCAAAATAGCGCCCGTAAACTTTGGGGTGGCTGTGGTTCAGGAGGCTGAGTGATCTAACCAGGAGGTTGGCACATGTCAAAGTATCCTTGGACCCTGAACCCCAAGTTGTGCCCTATGGCCAGGTCAGCACCATATATATTTCCATACAGTGTTAAAAGCCTAATTATGTTTTAATGTCTGTGCTCCAGGTGATAGTGGAGAAAGTGTCTGGCTCTCAGATAGTGGACATCGATAAGAGGAAATACTTGGTGCCCTCTGACATCACAGTGGCCCAGTTCATGTGGATCATCAGGAAACGCATCCAGCTGCCTTCTGAGAAAGCCATCTTCCTCTTTGTTGACAAAACTGTCCCCCAGTCCAGGTGAGAGCAACACAACATTCTGTTCCGGTAAGACAGTGAACTCTTAAAGGCAAAATTGCTTCGTGTTTAGCATCATCGATCTATATTATTTGTGCCATAAAGCACTAGAGCAACTTTTCCCTCTGAAGTGCCTAGGTGGTGCACAACGTAAACTGCAGGGTAGATGCTAATAGGGGGCTGTGCAGCTTTTGCTGATGGTCTGATCGCTTATGGTACTGTAATTAACATCAGTTCTCAGAATCAACATTGAAATGATTTATTGACCTTAAGCTTGTATTTGTAGCAGCTTTAAAACTGCAACAAAAGAGAATCGAGTGTACTCAGATGACAGTCTCATAAGTCTGAGATGTCTATTGTCTGAGTTTTATCTGACTCTGATAAGACACCATGAAAAACATCACATTAAGTGCAATCAATCTGTGACGGAAAGCAGAAATGTTAAACCAAATGCACTTCAAATTCTGGGCACTGTTCCAAAACAAAGTTTACTGAGCTACCTTAAAACCTGGACATAGGCTTTTTGTTTTGTCATAGTATAAAAAGCACAGGTGTTGTTAATAACATTACCAATGGTTCCACTCTATTCATGTGTCTTGGTAAAGGCTTGGACACATCAGGATTTAAAACGGTAAAAGTTTTCAGTTAAATCAGTCAATTCCTCTGGAACCTGAGTGAATAGAGGACACAGCGGAGAAGATGAAATGAATTTGTACCACTGACCAATAGCACGCTATCGTCACAAGGCTGACCTTTGAACATGTAAGCCCCAACAGTGTGCCAGGAATTCACAGATTCATTTTTATTAAATATCCTGTGCTTGTTCTTTTGTGCATTTCCGGGTTGCAAGCGAGAGCAGACGTCTTTACTGCTCCTCTTGTCTGTTCTACGATTTTTCACATCTTCTACACTTTCAAGTCTTGGAACAAATTCCACAACTATTAAAATGCCTCCAAGAGGGAAAAGAGCTAATATATCAGAAGCGAATGAGGATATGGAGGCAGAAGAAGTGTATCACAGAGCGGCGCAAGTAACAGACATTCTGGATCAGCAGAAACAGATGTACATCGCGCTGATGAACCAACAGCAGGAAAACTGCAAAGGCTTCGTGCGACTAATTATGGAGACAAACAATATGAGACTCGACGACATGACCAGAGAAATACAGGAGATAAAAACGAGTTTGCAGTTTACCCAGCAAGAGGTGGATGTGATTAAAGCTGCCATGGGTGAACAGAAAATACAAACCAAGGAGACGAGGGATGACGTCTACAAAACCTGTGAGAGTTTAATAGCTATAATGGATAAAATTGAGTATTTGGAAGCACAGTCCAAGTGAAAAAACTTGATCTTTGAGGGAATCAAGGAGACAGCTGGAGAAAGCTGGACAAGCAAAGAAGCTTAAAGGATCTAATATTTATATAAATGAAGATTACACCGAGTCTGTGAGGAAGAGAAGAAGGGAGTTGATGCCAAAGTTAAGGGAGGCCAGGGCGAGGGGAGACATCGCGTTCCTGCGGTATGATCGACTAGTGACCAGACCTCGGAACCAAGATCCAGGACCCATGACCAGCACGCCGAGACAAGGAGAGTATGAAGGGGTTGCTGGAACCTCAGATGTATGAAGAAACACGCAGGTGTATGATATCTGCAATGGCAGATGAGCGTTGGAACCAACAAGCATGACCCATGTACGGAATGAGGCAAGTGATTTGTTACAGAAGTTAATAGTTTTTGAGGGACTGGAGCTGGAACTGAACACAATTGGAAATACTGAAATTCATTATCATGAACCGGATGATTTTGATCCTGAAAAAAAACTTTTTTAAGAACTGCAAGTATTACACGGATGAGCAGTTTAACAGCAATGTCAAGACTGAAAACAAATGATCACTAATTCACTTTAATAGCAGAAGTATATACGCAAACTTTCAGAGTATAAAACATTATCTTAGTAGTCTAAAACATTCTTTTAATATAATTGCTATTTCTGACACTAGGATTTATACTGTAAGGGGAATGGATTTTGACCTTGATGGCTATGACTTGGTATGCACAAACAGAGAGAATAAGATGGGAGGTGGTGTGGCCTTGTACATAGATAAAAACTTTTGTTATAAGAAAGTAGACAAAATGTCTAGGGTAGTAGATAATTTACTGGAATGTGTGACTGTAGAACTA